GCTAGTGTCGGCTTAATAACGTGGACACGATGTTGAGATTCTACCAAACTGCCAAGATAAAATTTAGCCTGTGCATTATCTTTATTAAATTGTTCAATTTTAACGTTTACTTCCCTGCTCTCTTCGGGTGTTGCATTCGCACTAACAACAGGACGTTCTCGGGAACCATCGCAGATATTGAGCAAACCTTGCATCGTGAGGATCATCGTCATATCCTCCTTCCAACTTTCTGGTCCTTTCAGATGCGAAATGGCATTGATTACATCAATCTTGATCGACATACTTATCTTCCTTTGATGTCACGTACAAACAAAACGATCTCTTTCAATGCCCAAGGAGAAATAAAAAAAACTTCAACTTGCTGTGTACGATATGTATTACTTCTGAACGTAAACTATATCACGGAAAGAACTTTACACAATGCAAACGATCCTGAGCCCATAACCTGTTAAGTCTTTCACGAGGCTCAGGTCCGTGAATCAAACTCTCATTCGCAAAAACACAATCAGCAGTGAAAACTGATATCGTTTATTACAAAAAAACTTCTTGTTGCATTGTACAAAAGTGTGAGTATACAAAAAAGGAAAGATAACATTACGTGCGGACAATGCTAATCGCGCGGGAAGAACGACAAGAAGACTCTATACATATATAGTGAGAAACTTGGCGGGAGAAAAAAACAGGGGTGCTAACTAATAAACTAGCTGGGTATTTAGTGACATTTGATTGGTATTCCTAACAACATAACTAAAAAGAAATATTAAACAGATATTCCAAAACCTCCGACTCATTATAATTCAAAAGAATTACAAAACAAAACAGAAGAAAAACAAATAGATATTGAAGAAAAAAAATCGTTAAAAGAACAAGGTAAATAAAAGATTTTTATTTTGTATTTTGATTTGTACAGTAAAAATGGAAAAATTTTATATGTAATTAATATTTTGTATAAGTTTTTTATTTTCTTGTATATTATTTAGCAAATATTATTGAAAATAAAAATCTGGACGAAATACCAGAAAGTCAACCATTCGATTATGGAGAGAATGAAAGTCTGGATGAAATACCAGAAAGTCAACCATTGGACTATGGAGATAATGAAAGCTTGGACGAAATTCCAGAAAGTCAACCATTGGACTATGGAGATAATGAAAGCTTGGACGAAATTCCAGAAAGTCAACCATTGGACTATGGAACTTTCTCTCAATTTACTCAAAGAACATTCTGCTCTTCAGAAAACAAATTAAATGCTGATATTTCACAGAAAAATGGTATTATATAATAATATGTAATAAATAAATTAGGATTTATACATAACAGAATATATGTAATAAAAGTAAGGATATCAAAATTAATGAATTTCTTTCTTTTGATATCAACATTGCAGATAAGTATTCAAAGGATATACAATCATTATCTTCAAGTGATGATCAAGAAAAAAAAAACTTCTAAAGGGATAACAAAAATTCCAATACTTGTTTCCTCGAAAAAAAATTCTATTCTTTAAGAACTCCATCACCACGTAGTGATAAAACAACTTTAAAAACACAATCAAAAACTTTAATGCAAGACTTTAAAAATAGTCCTTCTGCATCGTCCTCTTTACATCAGATGACTCCTCAAAGATATTCCAAAACATCGGGTAACAATAAAACCGAGATTAAAACCTCCGTAATAAAACCGAAAGTTCTAAACATTTTAGAAACACGTGAGTTGTTAAGATGACATAACATTTTTCATTTATTTATGTACTTCTAAAATTTTTTTACTTTTTTTTTATTTTAAAAGGTATTCCATTATCTGAAATAACAGGTGGCATTCAAAATTAAAAAAAATGAAAATAAGAATAAAAAAGAACTACATGTTCACCATGAGTTATGTTGTAGTGAGTATATTAATATAAAATAAATAAAATAAATTTTGGGTTGCACATGTTTATACTTAAACTTTATTCAATTTCTTTTTCAGAAATGTGTCGAACAGATATTAAAATCATTTTACAAACTGTAACATTCATAAAGCAGACTGTTTTGGATTTACATGCAGACGAACCACATGGAGCAAGCGAAATAAATTTGAATATACCAATTTCAACTATTGAAGAATTAAGTCAATTTGAAGCTCTTTTGAAAGAAAATGTTCCAGCTCAATTACAATATGTGAGTACAATACGTATTTTTTCTATAATATGTTGAAGATAAAATAGAAGAATTTTCAATATTTTATACTTGTAAACATGATTTTTTTAACTTTACATCTATTAATAATTATTTGAGAACTTACCATTATACTACGTATATATAATAATTATTACTCATATATATAATATTTTGTCTGTTTAGTTTTTTGGCAGAAGAAAATGATTCGTACTGTTGGAAGAGCATGTTCAAAAAAGCATGTTCGAAACGCACTTAAATTAACCATAACTGACAATGTTGCTTATAAATTATCTTGAACCGGACAAAAACATTATGTTGAAGCAAAGAACATGAAATTTATTAACCTTCTTATTGGTATGTTAATTATATTTTATTTATTTTTTAGTAAAATTTACATATACATTTTTTAATATTCATTTAATATACATGATGTTTCGTTTTAATCGCCCCAGGAGAATAATTAGAAAATAAGACATGGGATTGAAAAGTACTTTAAACAAAATAAATTTGTTTGACTTTAAAGGGGACATAAACTCTTACAGAAAAAACACCCAAAATTTGAGGGTTTACACTAAAAAAAAACACTTAAAAGAATACTCAAAATAACACTCATTTGAGTGTCATTTCGAACACCCAATCTGAGTGTAAC